ATATTTAATCCATTGCATCTCATTTGATATCCAAGGGAGAAGCCATGTCATCAAGGACAATCATATACTTGATTATAAGTTTAATAAGTAGTTCTACTTGAATTTTAAACTCATATATTTAAATTTTCTTTGTCCTGATATATTTTGGGAAGTACTTTCAATTGTATTGTCTCCATTAGTATTCCCATCTGAAATGAAGAGGGTAGATCAAATACCTTCTGACAGATTGGTAACAAACTACCAAATAAAGTTCCAGTTATTGTGGATTAGAACAACAGATGGAATTATTTTGCTTTGTTCTTTCTTCTGTAATGTTAAACATAGTGACACTGGATCTGCTGCCTGTCATTTTTTCTGATTAACTATCAACTTTCTGTTTAATAAATATGTTTGTCAGTGACTGTCTAGTGAAGACTCTATTGTCATTGAGAGTGATCACATCAGAGTTTGATAGAACTAATAGTCAAAAAACAGAAACAAGATCCCTATTTTTCTTTACGTTTTGTTTGTTGCCACTGCAAAGGCAGTAGATGCACTCACCATCCATGCAGTCGCAGTGCCAATGGCATCATTGCTGCAGGGTGCCTGGATCAAAGAATAGCGGCAATAAAGCAAATGTTTTCCAAATGTTGTAACTCAATCAAAATCCTGGTTTTGCAAGTTTGCTCACTGTCCCATTCACAACAATTATACACCTGGCTCTCAACTCCTCCTGCTTACCATCATATTGCTTCGTTGTTCACTATCACCAGGAGCAAGCCAGAAGGGAAGCGAGAATGGTGGGGGGTGGGCAAGGCAGTGAGGGGTTAGGATAGGGGCAACTGCAGTGGTAGCAACAGGTTGGTGAGCAGGCACTGAACAGGGAAGCAGAGTGCCAAATGAGCAGGAGAGTGGGACTCCAAACAAAAGCTCTACGTGGTGTGAAGGTGACAAACGTCCTTGGATATGATTGGCCCTGCACATGTGTATATGTGTGCAGTTAGCAGGGCAGGCAATGGCCTAGTTGTATTATTGTTAGACTATTAATCCAGAAACTGAACTAATGTTCTGAGGACCCAGGTTTGAATCCCGCCATGGCAGATGGTTGAATTTGAAATCAATTTTAAAAAATCTGGAATTAAGAATCTACTGATCATCATGAAATCATTGTCGATTGTCGGAAAAACCCATCTGATTCACTAATATCCTTCAGTGAAGGAAATCTACCATCCTTTCATGTCTGGCCTACATGTGACTCTCAACTGCCCTCTGAAATGGCTTAGCAAGGCATTCAGTTGTACCAATCGCTACAAAGTCTTAAAGAAATTAAACCAGATGGATCACCTGGCATCGACCGAGGCACCAGAAAAGAAAACGGCTGAAACAGCCCTGTCGACCCTGCAAAGTCCTCCTCACTAAGACCTGGAGGCTAGTGCCAAAATTTGGAGAGCTGTCTCACGGACTAGTTAAATAACAGCCTGACATAGTCATACTCATGGAATCATATCTTACAGACAATGTCCCAGACACACCATCACCATTCCTGGATATGTCCTGTCTCACTAGCAGGACAGAACAAGCAGAACTGGCAGCACAGTGGTATATAGTCAGGAGGAAGTTGCTCTGGAAGTCCTCAACATTGACTCTGGATCTCATGAAGTCTCTTGGCTTCAGGTTAAGCATGGACAAGGAAATCTCCTGCTGATTACCATATACCATCCTCCCTCAGCTGATGAATCGATACTCCTCCATGTCGAACAACACTTTGTGAAAGCACTGAGGATAGCAAGGGCACAAAATGTACTCTGGGTGGGGGATTTCAATGTCCACCACCAACAGTGGCTCATCAGCAGTACTATTGATTGAGCTGGTCGGGTCCTAAAGGACATAGCTGCTGGACTGGGTCTGCAGCAGGTGTTGAGGGAACAAACAGGAGGGAAAAACATACTTGACCTCATCCTTACCAATCTGCCAGCTGCAGTGGCATCTGTCCATGACAATATCAGTAAGAGTGACCACCGCACAGTCCTTGTGGAGACAAAGTCCCACCTTCACATTGAGAACAACCTCCATCGTGTTGTGTGACACTATCACCGTGCTAAATGGGACAGACTTCGCTCAGATCTAACAACTCAAGACTTAGCACCCATGAGGTGATGTGGACCTTCAACAGCAGCAGAATTGTACTCCAGCACAATCTGTAACCTCATGGCCCGGCATATCCCCCACTCAACCATTACCATAAAGCCAGGGGATCACGCTGGTTCATTGAAGTGGGCAGGGGGGTATGCCAGGAGCAGCCCCAGACATACCTGAAGTTGAGGAATCAATCTGGTGAAGCCACCAAACAGGACTACTTGCACACCAAACAGCATTAACAGCAAGTGATAGACAGAACATAGCGATCCCACGACCAATGGATCAGATCTAAGCTCTGCAGTCCTGCCACATCCAGTCGTGAATGGTAGTGGACAATTAAACAATTCACCGGAGGAGGATGCTCCACAAATATCCTCATCCTCAAGAGCCCAGCTCATCAGTGCAAAAATTAAGGCTGAAGCTTTCACAGCAATCTTCAGCCAGGAGTGCTGAGTTGATGATCCATCTCGGCCTTCTCCAGTGGTCCCCAACATTTCAGGTACCAGTCTTCAGCCAATTCAATTCACTCCATATGATATCAAGAAACGGTTGGAGACGCTGGATACTGCAAAGGCTATGGGCTGTGACAACATTCCAGCACTAGTACTAAAGTCTTGTGGTCCAGAACTTGCTGCTCCCCTAGTCAAGCTCTTCCAGTACATTTACAACACCGGCATCTACCCGACAATGTGGAAGATTACCCAGGTATATCCTGTACATAAAAAGCAAGACAAATCTAACCCAGCCAATTGCCGCCCAACAGTCTACACTTGATCATCAGTAAAGTGATGGAAGGTGTTATCAACAGTGCTATTGAGCAGCGCCTGCTCAGCAATAACTGCTCAGTGATGCCCAGTGTGGGTTCCGCCAGGGCCAATCAACTCCTGACCTCATTACCACCTTGTTTCAAACATGGTCAAAAGAGCTGAATTCCAGAGGTGAGGTGAGAGTGACCACTCCTGATACGAAGGCTGCAAACAACCGAGTGTGGCATCAAGGAGCCCGAGCAAAACCAGAATCAATGGATATCGTGGGCAAACTCTCTGGTATTGGAGCCATTCCTGACACATAATGTTGGATTGTTGGATGTCAATCATCTCAGCTCCAGGACATCTCTGCAGGAGTTCTTCATGGTAACGTCCTTGGCCCGACCATCTTTAGCTGCTTCATCAATGACCTTCCCTCCACCATAAGGACAGAAGTGGGGATATTCGCCGATGATTGCACAATGTTCAGCACCATTCGTGACTCCTCAGATACTGAAGCAGTCCATGGTCAAATGCAGCAGGATCTGGACAATATCCAGACTTGGCTGACAAGTGGCAAGTATGTTCGTGCCACACAAATGCCAGGCTATGACCATCACCAATAAAAGACAATCTAACCACCGCCCCTTGACATTCAATGGTGTTACTGTCACTGAATCTCACTACCAACATCCTGGGGTTACCATTGACCAGAAACTCAACTGGACTCACCACATAAACACAGTGGCTACAAGACCAGGTCAGAAGCTAGGAACACTGCAACGAGTAACTCACCTCCTGACTCCTCAAAGCCTGTCCACCATCTACAAGGCACAAGTCAGGAGAGTGATAGAATACTTCACACTTGTCTGGATGAGTGCAGCCCCAAAAACACTCAAGAAGCTTGACTATCTGTGTGGAGTTTGCACATTCTCCCTGTGTCTGCGTGGGTTTCCTCCGGGTGCTCCGGTTTCCTCCCACAGTCCAAAGATGTGCAGGCTAGGTGGATTGGCCATGCTAAATTGCCCGTAGTGTTCAGGGATGTGTAGATTAGGGGGATGGGTCTGGGTGGGATGTTCTGAGGGTCGGTGTGGACTTGTTGGGCCGAAGGGCCTGTTTCCACACTGCAGAGATTCTATGATTCTATGAACCATCCAGGACAAAGCAGCCCGCTTGATTGGCACCACATCTACAAGCATCCACTCTCTCCACCACTGACGCTCAGTAGTAGCAGTGTGTACTATTTACAAGATGCATTGCAGAAGTTCACCAAAAATCTTCAGACAGCACCTTCCAAATCTACAACCACTTCCATCTAGCAGGACCAGGGCAGGAGATATATGGGACTACCACCACCTTCACATTCCCCTCCAAGCCACTCACCATCCTGACATGGAAATATATTGCCACACCTTCACTGTTTCTAGGTCAAAATGCTGGAATTCCCTCCCTAATGGCATTATGGGTCAACCCACAGCAGGAGGAATGCAGTGGTTCAAGAAGGGAGCTCACCACCACCTTCTCAAGGGCAACTAGGGACAGGCAATCAATGTTGGCCAGCCAGCGACTCCCACATCCCACAAATGAATAAAACAATCCCAGCTCCAGCCATACTTTTGATGACATCAGTGGTGCCAACTTTCTCTGCCTGTGTGATGACAAGAGATAGACCATTTTTTCACAAGAGCAAACAAGCTGTTTTCTTAAATATACAGTGGAATAGATTTCTCCATATTTTGGTCTTGATTTTGTTGGGAATTTTACATTTACAAGTGATTCCTCTAGGCTATTCAGTACAAAATTACAATGATAACTTATTACAAACTGCATATCATGGTACTTTGCAGGGTAGTGTAAAAATGTTTATGTCTACAGACTTAAAATTTAAAAAATGCAGCTAAATAATACAAATTGAAAATTATTTTACTTTTTAAACATTTTAGTTGCTATGAGGAATATCTATGTGACCTAGTTTGCGACTCTAAAGCTGAATGATTACAATAAAGCTAGATATAAACTGATAAAAAAAATTCTGTATTTTGCATGTAATCCCATTTTCATTGTTCAGATTCAAACAATTTTAAAGTTCTGTACAGTTGTTTTCTAACACAATGTGTGTAATTTGTTTCTTGATAGCACATAGTCCTGACAACTCATTTATGGGTTTTGTTGCCGAGAAACTGAACAATACTGAGAAAGAGGCTATTCAATCAAGCAAGGTCAACAATATGGCAGTTGTGTATGGAAAGGATGCTAATATGTGGAAGGTAGGAAGAACTTTATTTATGGTTACTATATTTCACTACGATCCTGACTCTGATCATGGAAACTAAAAGGTCAGAGAAAATGCATTAAAATGATTCAAAAGAATGTTGTACTAAATTTGACAGCACCCTAAACTGTGCATGGATAAGCACATAATTAATCCACGCCTGGTGATTGCTACATATCAGCAAGTGAATACAGGTTTGAAATGATTTCATATCCAAAGAGCAATAAACATATTGTTAATTAGCTGGATACCTGAGTAGGGTTAAGCACTGTTACAAAAAGCCAATATAACTTGGAGAAGAGGTGCATTTTGACCAGTACAGGTGCTGGGAGTATTGCAGAATCTAACTTTAAAAAGACAGAAGAATGGCATAACTGTGGGATTCTGGTTTGCAAACAGTTATTTTCTGATTTTCAAGTAGTTTGAATCACTCCCAGATCCCTGGTTCCAGACAATGGCCTTATTTAGGGAATGTGAAATGAAGAGGAAGTTGACAGATGTTTCAGGGCAAAAAAAATTGCTGTGTTTATTTAAAATACGAAGGTAATTACAATACAAGAAAGTAGGCAATGCAATAAATCAATGAAATTGACATTATCAATACACAGAAGAACAGTAGTACTTTAAATATACTAGTAACTAGATAACCACTATTGGAACACTATCCTACTGATACATGGGAAACACACTCTTTAATAAGAATCCCTACCCTTGGGGTCCCAATGCACTTTCACTACACACCTTCCACCCCACTGCTGGATAGGTCAGAAATTTGGTGTTTATGCTCACCACTCAAAACGCGATATTGAAGTGTGCAGGGTTGCTGAGGTTCTTGTCATTGGTTCTCTTGGTTCAGAACAGGCCCGTGTCTGGAAGCACTTGTTTGGATAGCATTCCGTTGTACTCCCCACCTTTCGGATGTCCAATGGTGCTCTTTGTTTGGCTTCCCGATTCAGCTTCTCTGTTACCTCTCAAGTCGGCTTCCCAGGTCTCGCTTTGGAAGCTGCATGTTGGGGTGGAAGCCTGTGGGGAAGATGTTCATACGTAAACTTGCTGTAGAAAAAGGCAACACTCTTCAGGTCAGATCAGGACTGGCAGTGTTGTTGACTGTGGGCCCTGTTGTCTCTGCTCACATCTGTGGTTTTCATTGAGCTCTTGATGTCTTCTTCTGAAGTTAATTGGCTTCCCAATGGTTAGAGTATGTGTGAATGAGGTTTGATCAAGGTTCAATGTCCAGTATCTCTGTAGGCCGAGGCGTAAAAGCTGTCTCAGGCAAGGATCTGTTGGTTTTGGTCAATTGTTCTCACACACACACACACAAACACACACACAGACAGAGAATCTCCCACACATCTCTCTCACACACACACACACACATGTAAATTTATGGGGTGAATTTGCATTTGCAGATATATTTTATTTTGTTCAAAAAGCACATGCACAATTTATAGACAGTCAGTCAATGTGGCGTTTTATAAATTCCTACTTTAGACATAAGACCAATCTGACTCCAAACCAAAACACAAACAGATTCTAACCAAGGCCTTACACCTAACATGCATTGTCTGACCTAAAAGGTCACCTTTTCTTTACACTGATAAAACCTATAGTTCTCTCAGGACAGTGACTTTAAAGGAATTCAGGGATATACATATACTCATTAATCAATTAAAACCCTCTAACTGATTAAAAATTTAACAGCATTTTAGGTTTGTTTAATGCATCCTCATCAGTGGTGTGGCCTTTTGATCTTTTACTTAAAAATTCTATGTCTGGTGCTACCTCTCTCATTAACACCTGAAGCTCTTGTGATTTCAAATAAATCTGTTGGACTATAACCTGTTGTCATGTGATTTCTGACCAAGCTATTAGACACAACAAGTGATGCCTGGGTAGATTATATGGAAAGGAAGAGAACAGCTTTGTATCTGTGGGAGAACAGGAGGCCTATTAGAGCCACACTCAGAAGCCAGTGAGAGCAGTTTGTTGTGGAGGATAATTGCAGAAGTCAAGCCTCAAACACTGGGATGTAGTGACACAAGTAGTTCAAGGCCTCACAGAAGACGTCAGGATTGGTGAAATACAATTCAAATCCATAAATGATGGGATCACCATCAGTCTCATACACTGTTCCAATCAGTACAGCCTAATCATTCATGTATCAACCATTTCTGTCAGTTGGGCATATACTTACCAACTATATGCTGTACTGTAGCCTTACACACTGAGCATTGCTGTAGGCCTCACACCCACATCCCCATGCATACTTGCACATGCTGCCTATTATTCTCCCTTTGCAGCTACATGTGATAAAACTGGTACCAAAGCAGCACTAGAAAATGTTGTCATTTCTTGCAGAATATGGGAAAGCACAACTAGAGGACAACTAGAGGCAGCAGGAAGAATCTGGCAGACAGTGGAGGAACAAAATGGTGATTACAAAGATACCCGTGCATTCATTATCACAAAAATTGATACAAGGCTGATTTTTTTGCAGGGATTGAAAGGCTTTCCATCTTTGCCAAAATGGTGCCAGTGACCCTATTCCAGAAGTACCATCCCAAACCTGGCACCCATGAGGGTGTGAGCAGCTGGTGCTGCTAGTTTGCACATCGTGATTTAGGAAGGCTGTTGCAAATATCTCTGATACCCATCTCTGATACCTGTCTCCCCTTCCTGGGGCTCTCTGTCTCCATCTCTGGCAAACACCTGGAAACTGATATCTATTTCAAGCCCACCAACTCCCACAGCTACCTAGAATACACCTCGTCTTACCAACCCCCCTGCAAGAATGTCATCCCCTATTCCCAATTCCTTCGCCTCTGCCACATCTGCTCCCAAGATGAGGCATTCCCCTCCCGGAAATCCCAGATGTCCTCGTTTTTCAAGGTCCGCAATTTCCCCTCCACAGTGGTTGAAAACGCCCTCGACCGCATCTCTCAATTTCTCGCATATCAACCCTCACAGCCCCTCCCCGCAATAACAACAAAGACAGAATTCCCCTTGTCCTCACATATCACTCCATCAACCTCCGGATCCAACGCATCATTTTCCGCCACTTCCGCCACCTGCAATCTGACCTCACTATCAAGGATATATTTCACTACCCACTGGGATCTGCTTCCTGGAGGGACCACTCTCTCCGTGACTCCCTCGTCCGCTCCACACTCCCCTCTAGCCCCACCACCCCTGGCACTTCTCCCTGCAACCGCAGGAATTGCTACACCTGCCCCTACACCTCCCCCCTCACCTCCATCCCAGGCCCCAAGAAAACCTTCCACATTAAACAGATGTTCACCTGCACATATACTAATGTGGTATATTGTATCTGCTGTTCCCGATGTGGCCTCCTCTACATTGGGGAAACCAAGTCGAGGCTTGGAGACCGCTTTGTGAAACACCGATGCTCAGTTTGTGACAAATGACAACACCTCCCAGCCGCAAACCACTTCAACTCCCCCTCCCACTCCTTGGACGACATGTCCATCCTGGGCCTCCCCCATTGCCTCAACGATGCCGCCCGAAGGCTGGAGGAACAGCACCTCATATTCCGCTTGGGAAACCTGCAGCCCAATGGTCTCAATGTGGACTTCACAAGCTTCAAAATCTCCCCACCTCCGACCTCATCCCAAGACCAGCCCATCTCGTCCCCACCTCCTTGCCCTGTCCGTCTTTTCTCCCACCTATCCACACCTCCCACCTCACTGACCAACTCCCATCCCAACTCCCTACCTACGCTCACCTTTACTGGTTTCAACCCCGCCTCCTTGACCTGTGAATCTTCTCTCCACCTATCTGCTCCTCTATCCACCTTTTACCATAGCCTCCCCCTCTCTCTATTTATTTCAGAGTCCCCTTCCCCTCCCCCATTTCTGAAGAAGGGTCCAGACCCGAAACGTCAGCTTTCCTGCTCCTCTGATGCTGCCTGGCCTGCTGTGTTCATCCAGCTCCACACCTTGTGATCTCAGACTCCAGCATTGGCAGTTCCTACTATCTCTGTTGCAGATATGGAATTATGTTTAAGTGGATCCACTTTTTTGCCAATGCAATGTTCAAGACATGACTTGTGGGCCTTACGCTTCTCAGGCGAAGGATTTACTTTACCTTATCGGAGTTCTTTGACAGGTCAGGGTGCTTTTGGATAATTTTAGGGCTGTCTTACAGAGAGGGAAGGTGCCTTATGGGAGGGGCCATGTGCCTTTGAGAATTATTACAATTTTTAAAAATAGACATAATTGGCAGAATCTTATAGGGGTCTGAGCAACATAGGCTATGATGACACATCAAGCAACAAGATTGACAAGGCCCATCTTGACATCTGGATTGACATCACACCATCTTTCATGCATTTCAGAAGTGGCATTGTTAGATTCTTGTTAGAGAGCAGCAAGCTGCCAAAAGCTTTCTGGTTAATCTTTATTGTCTCTTAGCATACCCTATCCCAACTGGCAGCTGATCCAGGCATTGTCAGATATAGAGAACGTTTCCTTGCCTCAGCTCTGCCTCAACTTTGAAATTGTAGTAACATTCAGAAGCACCTCTAACATGTTGAATTTCCCTTTACTGACCTTGCTTCTTATTTATGCATGCCTGTACACGGGCACAGATTTTGAAGCCACAAAATAATGCTCATTGTGAAAGATTTTCACAAAACAGATATTATTTAATTGATGGGCAGAGCAAATGCTTTGACTGTTTCAACACAAAAAGTCATTATCACTGCTGTTTCTACAATACTCTGCAGCATTGCAGGAATGATTTCTTGAATGTGCTCCTGTAATAAAGAGCCTGGCCCATCACTTCCAGCAGAATTTATTACTGCTAAGTTATTTCCCCTAGTTTTACAAATGCCCATTTCTTGTTTTCAAACCCAATAGCTATTAAAAATGATGAATAAATCAGATTAATTTATCTGGCATTAATAGATTTGTAGTTGGTTCAATAGTTTCTCATAGCTTTTGAATTTATTTATGGCTGTATCTGCACAGACACTAA